CGTTCCTCCACGTGTTGCATCACAATTTCTGCGACAACAACAGAAACAGGCGACTCCATTGCTGTTCCATGCAACTGTTTGTAGTGTTTACCGTTGCCTACAATAAAAACCTATGTAATAAAACTTTCTCTAATTTATAGTGCACTTAAAATAATCTTTCCTATTCAGTGAGGTTTTAAACAGTTTTAAACTAGGCAGGTGTCTGATTTCCGAGTGAACCTTGTTCCACAGAACAGATCCTCCGTTGTGCAGGCTTCCTTTTGCATATTCCGTTCTTGGATTGGGAACATAGCAATTTATCTCAGAGTTTCTAAGATTGTGTGCGTGTACATTTGAGGTGATGGTAAAAATACACCTCAGGTACGATGCGGAAAGATTATTATGGATTTTATACATAATCATCGCCAGTTGTTTAAGTCTTTTGTTTTCCAAACTTTCCCCGCCAAGTTCATTCTCGTCCCCAGTGCTACTCGTCTTAAAATGTCGTTGACGAAAAGTGACCACGTGACCAAAAGAAACGGAGGCTCTGGGGACGAGAATGCGCCAAGTTCATCCCACAAAATACTTGAGCGAGTTTCGTAATTTGAAAAGGTGAGAATTCTGGCAGCCCTATTTTGCAGTTTTTTAAGTTTATTCTGATAGCTCCTTGCCGATGTTGCTCCATGCAGTGCTACAATAATTGAAATAAGGCATAACAAGTTTGTATTCTGGTCTGGTCTACTGGTCTTGCCGGTCACGTGAGATTTAAGTCCTCAGTGTGCGTTATTAATAAATCAAAATACAAACTGTACTGAAAAATAACGTAGTATTAAAACTCCTTTAGCCGTAGTAACGCCAGTTCTTAGTTAACCATCCTAACGATCTAAACGAGTTTAGTGGATTTTCTGCCGCGTTTTCTCTGAGTAAAGCCTAAGGAATAGATGCCTAGAATCAGTGAGAAAACAGCATTTTATCTTGAGTCATTCTCAAGCGTTAAGACATCGAGAGCTCCTCAAGGCGTCGCACTAGTTTGCTGGAGAGATATCGTTTGGGATAAATGGCCACAAATGTGACGAGTTTAACTGAAACTAAGGTTACAAACAAAGATTAATATCTCTTCAGGAAAGGTGGGGTTAAAACTTTCGCCACCAGTAAAAACTAAAGTAAAATACTACATAAGATATGTTGACAGTCTGCGGGTCGGTGACCGGGGAGGTGGAGGGAAAAAGAACAAATACGTCTGAATGCTAAAAAGCACAAAAGTTCTTCTTGCGATGACGGCAATAGTAGAAAGGGGCCGCGAGTACGAGATAACCAACCTTTTGTACTTAACTTTGACACGCGCCCATTTTTCATTGGACAGGAGACTTCCATTGTTACCAGATTAGAGCACAACCCGCAA